AGTCATCTGTGCGCTGGTTTCGTGTGGGAAAAGTGAGAATGCGCTGTGGACCACAGGTCCAGGCGGGTTGCTCCGGTCCTCCGCGCTCGACCGCGGCTGGTTCCAAGGTGGTGCAGCATCCGGACAGAAGCGTGAATCCCGTTTGGTTCGTTATATGTTGTTTTGAGCGGTCCATCCATGCACGTGTTTTTTTCCTGGGGAAAGTGCTTCTCAGGTGGAGGCACCGGACACCACCCTCCGCTTCAGCTCATCTTTTTCGTCTGGTGCAAACACTTTTCATGTGTTTGCATTTGCACATACAGCTGATGGATCAGATCCATGACCAGAGATGAACAAGGGCTTGGAGGTCAGTGATTTTGCCACTTCTTTAACAGATCAGTGGAGAGGCGAGCCCGCTCACTTTGAGTCTAATCCAGGTGCCGCCCAGAGGCTTGGTGTAGTTATGAGGGCGCTCGATGGTGAATTTATGCGGGTCATGTAAACAAAAACTTTTTTGAGAATGATGCTGCATGATGTTATTTTGGAAAAAGGAGGGAGGGAAATATTCGTTTCTCAAAATACCCGACTATGTGTGAACGTAGCCTAAAACAAGTGAGAATATTTTATGTTTTATCTGCGAGCCAGATGCAATCATCAAAAGAGCCACACCTGGCTCGCGAGCCATACGTTCCCGACCTCTGCTCTACATCCTGAGAAAGCTCAGGTCTTTCAGTGTGTGCAGCAAGTCACTGGACATCACAATTTTGTCTCACTTTCCCAATATTTTTTGAAAAGTTATACATAAACCAAATACATAAACGTGGCCATACCAGCTTGTAAAAGCCTGATCCTGTCAGATCTCAGAAGCTCAGCAGGCTGGGCCTGGTAGTACTTGGATGGGAGACTGCTAGGAATTCCAGGTGCCACAGGAGGGCGCCAGTGGCAAAAAACTGTTGTTGTGTCCTAAGGAAAGACACTTCATCCACATTGCTTAATATGAAAGTGGTGTGAGCGTGAGTGATGGTGGTGGTCGGACGGGCCGATGGCGCAGATTGGCAGCCTTGCTTCCGTCAGTCTGCCCCAGGGCAGCTGTCTTTACAGTAGTAGTTTACCACCACTGAGTGTGGAGTGACTGAATAATGAACTGTAAAGCACTTTGGGTATCTTGAAAGGCACTATATAAATGCAATCAATCAATCAATCAATCAATAAACAGACTAGATAAATTTATCGGCAAATACAGTATCATAAATTCTGGGAAAAACGATCACCAGTATTAGTAATCAAACTTATAGAGGAGATAACTAATAATATTGATGCAAAAAAGTCTTCAACTGGGATATTCTTAGACTTAAAGAAAGCGTTTGACACGATGGAGCAGAGCACACTCTTACAAAAGATACAAAACTACAGTATCAGAGGAAGCGCTGTAAAGTGGATAGAGTCTGATTTAAAAAAAAACAAAAACAGAAAGCAGTTTGTGCAATGGGGACAACACAAATCCACATGTGAAACCATTGTCTGTGGAATCCCACAGGGATCCATGTTAGGCCCCAAATGATTTCTTTTATATATAAATGACTTGTATTTAGTTTCTGAAAAACTTTAATTTGTTCTCTTTGCGGACGATACAACAATTGTGTGATCAGGCGAGGATCTTGAAAGATTAGTGATCGAGACTACACACAAAACTGCAAAGTTACAAGTGTGGTTTGCCAAAAACAACTTGTCTTTAAATATCATGAAAACAAAAGCAATGTTCTTTGGAAACCGTGAAATAAATCCACAAATGAAAATTCAAATTGTTAATGTAACTACAGAAAGAGTACTTCAACACACATTTCTTGGACTAACTCTTGATCACAAAATTTATTGGAAACCCCACATTGATAAAATTAAAACCAAAATTGCAAAAGTTATAGCCTTGATGAACAAATCCAAATTTCTCCTAAATAAGAAAGCCCCCCTCCTTGAACCGTCACCTTATCGTGGTGGAGGGGTTTGAGTGCCCGAATGATCCCGGGAGCTATGTTGTCGGGGGCTTCATGCCCCTGGTAGGGTCACCCAAGGCAAACAGGTCCGGGGGGACGGGTCAGACGAAGAACGGTTCAGAAGCCCCTATGATGAGTGTACGAGCAAGGCCAGTTACGTCGCCCGGATTGGCGTCACCGGGGCCTCACCCTGGAGCCAGGCCTGGGGTGGGTGCTCGCCAGCGAGCGCCTGGTGGCCGAGCCTCCCCCCACGGGGCTCGGCCGGGCTCAGCCCGAAGGAGCGACGTGGGGCCGTCCTCACGTGGGCCCACCACCCGCAGGAGGATCCATATGGGGGCCGGTGCAGAGAGATCTGGGCAGCAGTCGACGGCGGGGGCCTCGGCGACCGGATCTCCGGACATGGAGACTAGCTCTGGGGACATGGAATGTCACCTCGCTGGGGGGGAAGGAGCCTGAGCTTGTGCGGGAGGTTGAGCGTTACCGACTAGATATAGTCGGCCTCACCTCCACGCACAGTTTGGGCTCTGGAACCCAACTCCTTGAGAGGGGCTGGACTCTCCATTTCTCTGGCGTTGGCCGCGGGGAGCGGCGGCGGGCTGGTGTGGGGGGTGGGCTGGTGTGGGCTCATTGCCCCACAGCTCAGCCGCTGTGTGTTGGAGTTCACCCCGGTGAACGAGAGGGTCGCGTCCCTGCGCCTTCGGGTCGGGGACAGGTCTCTCACTGTGGTGTCGGCCTACGGGCCGAACAGCAGTGCTGAGTACCCGGCCTTCTTGGAGTCCTTGGGAGGGGTACTAGACAGTGCACCGACCGGGGACTCCGTTGTTCTCCTGGGGGACTTCAACGCCCACGTGGGCAACGACAGTGACACTTGGAGAGGGGTGATTGGGAGGAACGGCCTCCCCGATCTGAACCCGAGTGGTGTTTTGTTATTGGACTTCTGTGCTAGTCACAGTTTGTCCATAACAAACACCATGTTCGAGCACAAGGGTGTCCATAAGTGCACGTGGCACCAGGACACCCTAGGCCGGAGGTCGATGATCGACTTTGTCGTTCGTGTCATCTGATCTCCGGCCGCGTGTCTTGGACACTCGGGTGAAGAGAGGGGCTGAGCTGTCAACTGATCACCACCTGGTCGTGAGTTGGGTTCGCTGGCGGAGGAGGAAGCCGGAAAGACCTGGCAGGCCCAAGCGTGTAGTGAGGGTCTGTTGGGAACATCTGGCGGAGCCCTCTGTCAGAGGGACCTTCAACTCGCACCTCCGGGAGGACTTCTCCCGGATTCCGGGGGAGGCTGGAGATATGGAGTCCGAGTGGGCTTCATTCTCGGCCTCTATTGTCAATGCAGCTGCTCGGAGCTGTGGGCGTAAAGTCTGTGGTGCCTGTCGCGGCGGCAACCCCAGAACCCGGTGGTGGACACCGGAAGTAAGGGATGCTGTCAAGCTGAAGAAGGAGTCCTATCGGGCCTTGCTGGCTCGGGGACTCCTGAGGCAGCTGACAGGTACCGGCGGGCCAAGCGTGCTGCAGCCCGTGTGGTCGCGGAGGCAAAAACTCGGAGCTGGGAGGAGTTCGGTGGAGGCCATGGAGAAGGACTATCGGACGGCCTCAAAGAGATTCTGGCAAACCGTCCGGCGCCTCAGGAGGGGAAAGCAGTTCTTCACCAACACTGTTTACAGTGCGGGGGGAGAGCTGTTGACCTCGACTGGGGACGTTGTCCGGCGGTGGAAGGAATACTTTGAGGATCTCCTCAATCCCACCGTCACGTCCTCCGAGGAGGAGGCCGAGGCTGGGGACTCAGAGGCGGACTCATCCATCACCCTGGCCGAAGTCACTGAGGTGGTTGGCAAGCTCCTTGGTGGCAAGGCTCCGGGGTTGGATGAGATCCGTCCTGAGTACCTGAAGTCTCTGGATGTTGTGGGGCTGTCTTGGCTGACACGCCTCTTCAACATCGCGTGGCGGTCGGGGACAGTACCTCTGGACTGGCAAACCGGGGTGGTGGTCCCTCTGTATAAGAAGGGGGACCGGAGGGTGTGTTCCAACTATAGGGGGATCACACTTCTCAGCCTTTCCCGATAAGGTCTATGCCAGGGTACTGGAGAGGAGAATCCGGCCGATAGTCGAACCTCGGATTCAGGAGGAGCAGTGTGGTTTTCGTCCTGGCCGTGGAACACTGGACCAGCTCTACACTCTCCATAGGGTGCTCGAGGGTTCATGGGAGTTTGCCCAACCAGTCCACATGTGTTTTTGTGGATCTGGAGAAGGCATTCGACCGTGTCCCTCGTGGTGTCCTGTGGGGGTGCTCTGGAGTATGGGGTCCGGGCCCCTATATATATATATATATATATATATATATATATATATATATATATATATATATATATA